TCACAGCCGGCTTGAGTCCGCGCTTGCCACTCTTGAGGGTGTTCTAGCTGCAGAAGGATACTCAACTCGCAGCACGTGTCTATAAAGTATGTAGTCCCGTACTGAAGCCCCAAACTCTGTAAACTATTCCGAGCATACGGAAATGTGTCAGGCGACACTAGTTTTCTCGGCACACAGTTCGCGCAAAAACACATCGGAGTAACTGGCCTCTATTGCTGCCCGGGAGCGTTTTTAATTTTTTTTTCCTCCCACGAAAACAAGAGTAAAAAAGAAGGTTTTACCGGCACCATTCCTGTACAATCTACCACAGAGAACAGATTGGTACAAATTGCAAAGGAACTTCCAACCTTGAAGTTGTGAAAAAAGGACTTCGATCGCTGGCGCCCAGAAAGCCGCGTCGTTGCTGCCCGCGTCGCTCGTCCGTCGGCCCGCCGGTGATGTACACGGATAGGGAAAAGTAGGGATTTTTAACTGTTGCCAGTAGAGTCGCCTCCTGAAAACCTCGCGGTCCGCGTAACTTTAAAATTCAATACCTTCGGACGAAAATTTTATTTTTATCAAATGTTTTGGCTATTACTTGAGAAAGGGTTATCGATGCGGTCTACCAATTTCCAGTCAAATCGAAGCCCATAAAAAAATCGGCGGAGTTTGAATGCAGACGTCTGGAATTCGCGAAATTTAGTGGCTGCAATTATGTCCTCTTTGACCAATTCGCGAAAGGTAGGGGCAGCGGAAATAATGGGTTTTAAGGCCTACGTGCTAAAATGTAAAAAAGTAAAAAAAAAAAAAAGAAAACGAGAGCAATAGGGATTTTGAGGAAACCGTTTTTACAACTCGGTACGCTCAGGCCGCTGTTCGCTAGTTTCGGGAAATCACTAGCAAATCCGTTCTCCGTCAATCAAAAGCTGGGAGTTACGCTGGCGGAGGTAGACCGAAGAGTTACGCTATGTTGACAAATTACCTAAGCACCATGAAGAGCGCTCGGAATGTGGGTACGGGTGCCACAGACGCTCGCGTTACCTGAAGAAACGTGCCATTTGCTTTAGATTTTCTTTAGAAACGTTACTCTTGCAAACGCCAGCACGTGGAACTAATATTGGAGCATGCAGTTTCATGCGGTTGAGCAGTTGTATAAATCAACAGTTTTGTACTGCTTTTTTTCCTCCTCCCTCTCTTCTTTTATGAAGAGGAATAAAGAAACTTGAAACATGCTCCTTGGTGCTTAAGTCGTTTAGCGAAATATTTATAGACGCTTTGCACACGCGCCAGATTACAACCGCCATTGCTGGCGTTTTGTTTAACCCAGGTCCAGTGAAGCGAGTTTTGACGAGCTTCTACGAAGGCCAATGCTGGGGAGAAGGATACAGTAGAATCTAAAAGTGAAATAACCTACCCTGGTGTGGTCATTATGAAGTAAGTGAACCTAATAAGAGAAAGAAAATTGAAGGTCGGTTACAGCGACGCTCGTGCACAGCTGTTGCAACGCGTCTATAGACCATTCCAGAAAAGCGCTTCTGGTCGATGCCATTTTCAGCGTTTGTGCGTGTGGCGCATACTTTGCTCGCCTTTCAAAGCGCGTGGTGGGCTAGGACCTAACACATCTAGACTGTGATTCTCGTAAACGATGAAATGTAAACGATGAAATGAACCGTAGTCCCATAGCCCAGATGGCAGGTTACTGTTTTTGAAGATCATGCTAAAATGACAAAAGACCGCCACAACCATCAGGCCAAGCATCAAGGTGCAATGAATGGCGTATAAAATACACAAATACACAATGTATCTTCAAATAAAGAATATTTTCTCAAAGCTACAACACTGCGTAAAGTACAAAAATGCATCATAAAATTCTAAAGAGCAGCTCTTACGCGCCCGTTTCCGGATTGAGCGGCGTCGGCGTCGCCTAACCGCGCGCGTTGCATTATGGGACGTTTCCCCACTCAAGTTGGCGGAGAAATTTTGAGGGGAAAATTGACGTCACGTGGCCTCAACATCTTATTGAAAAAAAAAGCAAGAAAATGAAGCTGGTCAACCTTTTTTAGCTGGTTTTTAAGCTGGTTCGAGCTGGTCTAGGTTGTAGTCAAGCTGGTCAAGCTGGTTCGAGCTGGCACTGAAGCTGGGCAAGCTGGTACCTGAGGTGGTTCGAGCTGGTACTGAAGCTGGTTCAAGCTTCCTAAGCTGGTTCGAGCTCGTGCTGAAGCTGGCCCAAGCTGGTCCGAGATGGTCAAGCTGGACTTGCTTGGAGCGCACACGCCAAAGGTCGGCTAGAGCTGGTCGAACTGGCATAGCTGAAAGCGCGCGCCCCAAGGTCGGCTTGGGCTTGGACCAGGCTTCCTCCTGTTCTTTGTACTCTCGTTTTTGGTACACAACCTGGCGTTTCAGGCGCCCTGCGAGCTTCCTTTGTGTGCGAAGAGAGAGAGAGAGAGAGAGTGGTAGGAACGGAGAATTTGAGACAGGCTTGGCTATCTTGGGCAAATTTTCGAAGGGACGGCTGTATGCGCGTTGATTGGAGACTACCTAAGGGCGTGCAAGCGAAACGGGATTTGGAGAGAGAGCGAGGGGCAGTCCGGGTCAGCGCGGGGAAAAGTCGGACGCCCCGACTGAGGCGCCGTTTCATGCCTTCGAACATGTGCGTGCTCGTGAATGACGGTGGTGCCGAGGAGTATCGCGAAAAGACATTTTAAAACGAGTGAAACGAATAGCAAATGACACCTGGTGGATGTCGCTAAAGCCTCGTTTGTAATGTTCTTCTAGGAACCTCGACAGGTAGTGACGATGCCCGTCTCGCCTAGAACTATACATGCTTTGAACTCGACGTCATCCAGGCAGATCTCCGACAACCACGAGAGAAGGGAAGGAGTAACTTCCCTCTCACCGGGAATCTTTTGTGTGTCCCAGACTTGCCCAGACGTCGCTATAATCCCCCCGCAAGAATATAGACGATTAACCCGTCTCTCAAAATTTGTGCAAAAGCAGCTTTAGGGTTAGTTGCTGTGGCCCGATCGATGACGTGCTTCGGCCGCTTCGGTGGCCGGAACGGCTAGGGCATCCCATCGACGTCAGCCTTACTGCAGCTTTGCTGGTCCCGAGACAGTCTACGTCACAATGGCGCCGGATGTCACTTGCTCTCTACTGGCTGCTTTCCGAACGCTTGCCAGAGTGGGCCGTTTATAATGAAAACTTCAGCCATCAGGCTCAAAATAAAAACGTGCGATTGCCATTTACGGATATTGTGGATCATATTCAGCCCATTTCTGAACACGACGTGTATACTTCAAATTTCGTTGAAGTATCTCTTTAATTCATCATTGATACATTCTAGTCTAATAAAGTTCGGAAAGTACACATTCTGCAGAAAACACGTCCTCTTGGTACAGGAAGTTTTCAACGCAGAGGGATCATTCGCTGTAATATATTTTTATGAATTATTTGCCTCTAATGAAAATACTTAATTGCTAATATGTTATGATTTTAAACATTTATTACTTTAATAAATAATGAATGTTGTTTTGGCCATAATTACAAATTCTATTTCGGACAGGGTTTTTCGAAATGAGACTAATGAGTATTTAATATGGCAATGTACCTCTATCTCGTTTAGTATAGAAAAGTTGAACTATGTTCCTTCTTCTTGTACTACTTCTACATGATTACATAACAGAATAACTTGAAACTTAACGCGGGATGTACCACAAAAATGAATGCCACAAAGAACTAAAAAAAGAAACGTATTTTGATATGTTATTCAAAGGTTTTGGCATAAACGCTTGTTATGTACAAACCAAAAGCACAGAACAAAGTGTTGTGAACCGATTGTTTGTAGTTTAAAGTCATGAGAAGTCATAATGTAAATGACTATCATGAGAGCAAGTCATCTGGCCTCTTACGCAGGGGTTGCGGTGACGTCAGCAGGACGCTGAGTTCTGATTGGCTATAATTGGAAGGATAGTGGGTATACCTCAGTGCTAGATGCCTTGAGGTCTACCCACTCTTTCATCTTCTATCAGCCAAAAAGAGCTCGGAGTTCTGACATTATCGCGACCCTTGTGCAAGAAGCAGACGAACTTGCGCTCTGGCTTGCACCAGACCTCACCAGGATCGAAGTTTATTTTTGTGCGTGAACGACATTTTTGAAAATGTTCTGTCTTTGCGGGTTCAGTCTATTGCCACACCGGGAGTTTCTGCGAATATTTTCAAAATTTTATAAAAAAATAAGGTTGTTAGAAAATGAAAAACTACCTTAGGAATAAACTGTCACCCACGGCGGACGTCAGGAATATTGCAAATACACACTAATAAGCAAACTATTTACCTTAAATTAGAATAACCTTTTAATTAGTCAAAATAAAAATATGGCTGCAATTAGAAACTTACTGATCGTTATAAAAAAACACCAAAGTTCGTTAATTTCGGGAAACTTGAAGCACGTGGGAAGCCCGGAGGGGCGGGGGGGGGGGGGGGGGGGGGTGCTGAAGTTTGAACTCCTGCAGCAGGCGGAAGGCTGGCGATGCGAAAATGCTGTAGATAAGATAATTATCCAGTCTTTCGCTTCGCCAGCTTTCCGTTTGCTACGAAAATGGAAACTACAGCACTCGCCCGCGCTTTTCACGGGCTTCAAGTCTTCCTAAAATGAACGGATTTAGAGGTTTTGACGGCAGCTCAGCAAAGTTCACATTTGAACTTCATGTTTATTTTTATTTATTAGAAGAGCAATAAGTAAATTTTAGGCCAATACTTTGCTAATTAGTGTGTTTCTTGCAACCCCGACGTCTGCCGTAACTGCCAGCTATTTTCCAACACGTTCCTTTTTTTCCTGAACTATTTAGTTTGTTTGCAACAAGTTTAAAAGTATTAGTAGAAACGCCGGGCATTATTTTTTCGTGATGACCAACAGAAGTGCTGCGATTTGTTTTGTCTGTTCTCAGTTTGCAATCGTCTCTAGTTTTTTTTTTTTTAGACAATTATCAGTAGTGTATGTACCAGTGTATGCCTTTTCCCAGGAACACAGGTCTGAGTGTCCGAAGATCGAAAAGAGCTGTTCCGACTGCGGTGTCAAAGTTCTCAATGAAAACCTACAAAGTCATCAAGAAGTGGAGTGCCAGATGCGAGTAGTGTTTTGTGGCGCCTGCAAGAGTGCAATGTCTTATTATAAACTTGGCGTAAGTTATTTTTAAGAAGCGGAAAGAGGTGCAGTATTTGCAGTCTCTTTCACGCTGCTGTCTTTTAGAAGGAAACCCACAGTATGTATTAAGCCTAAAGTTTTTAGACTTCTTAGTTCCTAGTTTATTCGTGTTGTACAATTCAGACAAAATCCCGATAATACTAAAATGAGAAACGAATATCTAATTCAAAATTATACGCAAAACAATAAAGCACCCGAAGCCCAGTCCACGATTACGCACAGACAAGTGACGCACTCGTTTCAGGGATGATGCCACTGTCTTAACAGTGTGTTGTAGGCAGACTTGTGCTCGTTACCTGAAAAATGTAATGAATTACAATTGCAAATGACCGAGCCTCAAATTTAATGGATTACCGTTACGAATTGTTTTGGCTGAAAAGTAACGGATTACTTTGCTCGTTACGTTACAAATTACTTTCATGCTACTTTTTCCGTACACTTATCCAGAGAACGACAAAAACAATTTTGATATGTTAAAAAAAATGTTTTGTAACACTACGTTTCATTTCTCATACGCCCGGATTATGGTAGTTCTGGTAAAAATAAAATATTGTACTTAAGAGAAAGAGTGTAGGTGCACTCCGTTCACCTGTAAGCTGACAAGGCACCGAAAGTTGCAACCCTGCAGCCGCCATCCCGCTAGCTTACGGACTCCGGAAATGATCCCTGGAATTGTGCAGACAAAGCTAGCGGTGCGCACGCTCAGTAGCAGCGTCTACGTCCGCTACGAGATTCGGAGCTAAAGAAGCGATCTACGAAAGCTTCCTATTGACTTGAGTGTTTCGCCTGTTATTCACAAGAAAAGAAAAACTTGGCTCTAACGCTACAATGTATAGCCAATGCAGAATGCAAGTGCCCCAGCTTACCTTGATGCGTTTCCATAGAAAAGAGTTTGTTGTTCTTGCTGATGACAATGTGTGCTTTTTTGGCAAGCAAAGCATGCTCTGAAACTCTCCGTTTCCGTTCTCCTTAATGCTCGGAATTTTGAACATATCATTAAGAGATGGCCATGGAGACGGTGAACACTCCATGGCCGAAAACTCGACCAGTCAGAGTATAAGTGGCAGTTACGGGTTATCGATCGTTCATTGGTTCTCACTTTCATACCAATATTCGTGGAGCTTAGGGGAGGGGAGAGCATAGAGAGTGAGAGAAGCGGTAGCCATCGGTCTCTGCAAACAATGGAGGATCACACCACTTTTACGCGTTGTCTCTTTCTTTCTCTGTCAGCACACCTTAGATGGCCTAACCCCCCCCCCCCCCCCCCCCCTTTTTTATGTGGAGAGTTGTCTGTAAAGTGAGCAATGGACTTGACCACTATGCCCAGACAAGTAAACCAAAAGAATTATCGTCCGTGCCCTCAAAAACGATGCTCTTAGCCTCGAGCCAGGCGTTTTTCAGCCGTGCCTCGAGTGCGTGCTAGAATAAAGCACCGCACATCAAAGACAAAAAATTCGACCCCTCTCGCGCGAGGCTACATCGTCTGTTACGCGAGTTGTGAACACGCGAATCGAGGGAATACGGACCCGCGTCTGAAGTCTGTGCAGGTGGCGGGAGGCGTCGAAGAAGTTGGGGAAAGTGAAACGGTGTAAAATACAAAAAACAAATAAACACGAAGAGCTTTCTCCTGCCCGGGAGAAGGAGAAAAACACGATGGAAGGCGACGGAGTGCCTACTGGGCGTTGCCTTACTCTATCTCTTTCGTTCCTATATTTGTACATTGCCCATTTTTCTAGTGGTTCTTGTGACCGGTCGTACAAAAAACCGTGTTTTCTTTTCAGCTATTCTCGCCTTCCTGGTGTTTTGTCTTTTGTTGAACTTGCTCTCTTTATGCTGCTTAATGTTCTGCGGGTATTGCTCCAGTTACTGTATTGTGCTCTAATTTTTAAAAGAAGTAACAAGTAATTTAAGTAATCCGTTACCAATATTTTGTAACGAAATTACGTTACAAATTGCTTCCGAGAAAAAAAAGTAACGTCGCAATTGCAAAGTTACTTGAAAAAGTAACGGAATACAAGTAATCCGTTACTTGTAACGAATTACTTCCCAAGTCTGGTTGTCGGCCCCTCCAACAAGGACGCGACACCGATATAGTGGCTTCGGTCGATTTACCTGCATCACCTGCAACAGCTGCACTCTTTGCAGACCACCGTATTAAATTTATGGATACAACATGAAAACGAAGGAAGTACATTAACTTGCAGTTTTCCGCACCGGTGCAGGATCGTGCTGGACAGAAAAGATTAAGTACAATGAGAACGTGATTGAGATTATTATGCAACTCTTGTGTGCGTCATTCTGAGCAGGGCTTCGGGCGCTCTTTTTGGGGAATTTTCGAAAAATCGCGACAACTGATCGATGACTCGAAAAGCCATTGCCTGTTCGCACAGGCTTACAGCTTGTTTATTCCATAATAGTAATTGTCGCCAATAGCGCAAAGGCAACGTACCCCATAAAACGAACATTCAAAAAGTTTGATGTTAAATAATTAGCCAACTTACACCTGATGGTTGTTTCCCTTATATTCGTCGAGCGTGATGAATAGGTGTCGATACGGCAGTCACGCAACTCTCGCCCACTTCTTACAGAAAGGAGTTCGAAATAAATTGAAACACCCTGCATACTGTCATGATGTGAGATATATATTCATTTTATTTCGAGTATACCTACAGTTCTTAGTTCGTGTTGCTGACTTGTTCAACATTAAAGATTTGCATCATTCAACGTTTGCGCTCAGTGAAAGTTCTTGACGGCATTCTTAATCACAAACAATCTTTAATAAATATGTATATGCACTACCAAGTTTTTAAGACGGTTGCATTTTGGAGAGGACTGTTGATGGGTATACTATGATATTGTATCTTGAACAAACGAGTAAGGTCTAAAGATATAAGATGACACTATTTTTCAAACTTTTAGTTTGTTCTCTGTTTTAGTGCGGATCAAGAATGTATTGCAGCTGACCTGCGAAATTACCTATGTTTGAAGAATAGAACCAACGAAACTAGCCATTAACTGAAGCGAGCGCGGTTTCGTGTCAAAACATATTGTGATAGATTTTATTTCTACCGAATTCATTACATTACATCGCAAAAATAATATGACGTGTTGCATACGAGTAAACTAAAAAAAAAAAGCGGCATTCTAAAAATAATTAGACAACCGTTATCGGGTGTAAGTTCTAAAGACGAATACAAGGCTCGTGATGAAAAACTAAGACAAATATATTCCAGACGGCCTTGTAACAAATAATGCGATTTTATATATACAGTTTCTAACCACAGTTCATGGTGTATAAAAACATTGTGCAAGTAGTCCTTCGCATGTTTTTTTTTAAATTTTTATTGTGATATAAAGGTTCATGATCAAGTATGCCCCGAGAAGCCAGTGGTCTGCGACGACTGTAAGGGCGAGGTTCTACGGAAGGATGAGTCCAAGCACGCCTCCGAGTGTCCAATGCGTGTTGTGTGCTGCGAGAACTGTGAAGGATCCTACGCCTACTCTTCAGAAAAGGTGAGCAATAAACTTGGTTCTACTATACGGTACGTGGACAGCGTCTTCGACTTGTGTGTTTAGGGTCCTATCGCGCCCTGACGTAACATGGTCATGTTATTGGATGTTGCGATCCTGGCGTTTGGTGCTACAAGTCGTGGCCAAAAGTACGGGTAGACGCGAGTGTCGCTGTCGTCGTAGAGACCCAACTCCTGGCTGTTAAAGCTTCCGTTCCACTGTGAAGGTGGAAAGCGACCTGCAGCTCTATAGGCGTCTGGCCGATTCACAACCGCTGCCGTAAAACCGCCAGGTTCACGCCTGGCGACAATATGAGACTTCCTTAATTTCATCAGGCGAAGCCGGAGGGACTACTTTTTAGGGGGCGGGGGAACACTCCAGTCGTAGACGCGTGCCATTCACCGTATAGTTGTACGTAGTAGGATGCCCTACTCGTGAAGGTATTATAATGTACGCTAGAGGTTCAACTGGCTCGAGTGCCTATGCGACTTCCGGGAGGCAAATTGAAGCACACAGCAACCAGTCTACTTTCGCGGTGCTCCTGTGCATTCCTATGGGAAAACGCGTGTGAATTTTTTCTCATCGCCGGGAAATAACTCGGAACATCTTGGTTATTTGGGTCGTACCGAATAATATGCACCTTAAATAACATTTTAAAAGTGTAATTGCTCTAGTTACAGCATATTTCTTTACGACTGAGCGATGTTAAACTTCGCTATATTTGAGGCCCAAACCTCTGTTCCATGGCAGGTATGTAAAGACGAGTGACGATTCTAAGCAAATAACGATCGAAAGGAATGTTGAGTGTGTTCAAGGTCCGCTAGGATTCCGGTGGCGCTTATATATCGCTAATATGATCGTCCTATCATTATATGAAAATGACTCCGTCGTGCGCATCTTTACGATCGGCTAAAAGACATTCGAACGTAAAAATGAAGTACGTGGGCTACAAAATGTGTGTCTTTTTATTATTTTCTATGTCTCAGTGACGGAAGTGCCAATTGACTTTTTGGAGCAGGCCTTGTAGCAGGCAAATGTTGTTTTGGAGCAGGTAGTGGCCCTTTTGGAGCAGGGTCCGGCACATGTTCGCATATTACTTGAAAATGAAATAATGCTGCATTGCTATATAACGCCCATCTCTATTATTGGAACACAGCGCCTGTCGCCTTTTTAAGGCAGGATATATAAAATTCAACAAAGTAAACACACAAAAAAATTTTTTTAATAAAGTGTACGCTCGTCAGATAAAAAAATACAATTAAATATGTCACACTGAGTTATGACGGTAAAGGATGTTTAGTTTTATCAGCCTGCACTTCTTTTAAGGTATTTGCAGCAGCATCTAACGATCCTCACTGTTGATTGTAGTAGTTCAGATTAGAGTTGTCTTCCGGGCAGCAGCTTCAAATATTGCGGTATCTGATATTCGCTTCAAAACTTCCGATTCATTTTCGATGTGCTAGCGAAGTCACGATCGGATCACGGCGAGTTAACCCGTTGAGTGCGCTCCTTGGCATGCACCGACGTGCCGCAGAGAAGCGACACCCGCGGAGCAGACACCGCCGTCGCGCGAGTCGCGCAGTGCTTTCTGCTCCGAAAAGGACGGTGGGGCTTTACCAACACTACATCCAGAGTTTGGTGAAACTCAAGTATACTTCGTTTCAGCTTCGGTGCGAGCGCAGCCGAAGCTACAAGCGCGCGCATAAAGCCCGTAACGGTGCCCACACTGCACGAGCCCACGCGCGAATCAGGAATGCACAGAGCATTGGGTTCGCGCTAGCTTTGTCTTCGCTGGTAGCTAGCGCACGGGAACAGGGCGGGCCAACATTGAAAACATCCACACGCTCGTGTTTTTTTTCTTTAAATAGGCTGCTCAGTGGGATGGTTCTTCGCTCAGCCTCAGCTGCTTTGGTCTCAGATGTTGCTAACGTTGTTCCTTTCAATGACGATGATGATAATGCGCCCTCGCAGCTTCGGTTTACGTAACAGCTGCGGCGCGGAAAATACCGCGGTACCGCCACGCGCTCTGATAAGACTTCAATTTTAATTTTTTATTGCTACATCTCATCTGGGCGCAGGCATGGCGCAATTCTTCGGTAAAATGACAATTTGGCGTTACATGTAGCAGGATTGCGTCCTTGGCGCAATTTGGCGCAATCGGCGCAGCACTTCCATCACTGATGTCAGGCAGTTTTTATCGCGCACCCGTTCTCTGGCTTCTCCCTATTTGCAAAGATTTTGAGCGTGCGAGTGATGATTTGAACCCAGAACAAGCATCTTCGCACATATATTCATGAGCAGAAAGAATAAAGCAGCACTTATTTACTGGAAAGCGGACTATATTACGTGGCTTTCGATCTATTTCGATCGTCTGCATGCATAAGGAGTTACTTATACAGTATTACTGCGTTTAATTCTCGCCATCTCTTGGTTTTCCACATGTCCTTCGTTCGTTTGGCACGTATATCCCCGATGCTAGAAAGCGCCGACGCCGTGTTCGCGCTAACAGTGTCCGACAGTGCACATAAATACATTTACAAAGTGGTTTTAGCCCCGTTTTTCATGCCACGGATTTAAAATAAAAACGCCGTAACTGACAAATTATTTCGACTGCGTGGCTGAGAAATGTTCCAATATGCCCAGCACGTACGGATTATTCGTGATATTCGCTCTTATAATCGAAATCAGAGAGAAAATGCACTCGCTTTTTCCCATAGAAATGCATTACCGGAAGTCAATTTCGGACTGGCTGCTGTCTGCTCCAATTTGCAGCAGCACACTAGCGCCAGTTGAACCTCTAGCGTGCATTATAATAACTCTATGGCCGTACTCATTGGTCATGTTGTTTGCTCCGAAAACGTGCTAATGTGCGATACAGAAAAGGACTAATTAAAACCATTTAATATTAATATAGACTTGAAGTATATATACTAACGTATGTTTATATATATATATTTTATTTTATTTAATAAGTGACATCTTCGTCTAAACTCCCACTGACTCTAAAAGGAAGGCGATATAAGTTTGGTTTATTCATGATTTCTTTGTAAAGTTAGCACTTGATGTCGCTGATACTAGACACTACAATTTCTACGATGCGTCAAAAAGTACGGGTTTTTTAGGCGGCTATGTTTCTCGCTGTGGAATACAGGCAAAAAAGCTATCATAACACAGCATGATTGGTTGGTTTCGTGTGAGTTCAGGAAGTGGATTACATTTGTAAATTTTGGCTTGCTTTAAATTCGCATATGTTGTACTATGCAAAAGATAACGCTCAGCATTTGAAAGCTGAGATATGTTGAGATTTTAAAGAATAAAATTTTACAGGACCGAAAAGGATGTCGGAATTTTTTTATTGTTGTCTCTGACTTGTCATACTCGTGCTCGAGTTCAAAATGTTTACCGCAAATACATCATACATCTGAAAAGAGAAATTTTTTTTTCCCATTTCTAATAGTATTAAAGCTGAGCAACCAATCTTTTCTTAAAGCCGCGTCAATGATGTTGTAATGCAATATTGACACATTATAGCCTAATCAATTTAAGCGAGTGATTGTAGAAGCACACGTTATTCCAGAAAGAAACTCTGTATGTGAACGAAGCCTTCATTGTAGAAGCGTCATTCGTTTTAATATATTTTATGGTATTAGCGTCAAATGATCATGCTTGCTAATAAGGAATAGTTTTAATAAATAAAATATAATATATAATAATTTTTGACTGGGAATGATTATAATATCTATTATGTATAGCGTTTCCAATATGATACAAATGTGTATTTAAGAATGCAATGTTTGTCCGTCTATATTAATATCATTAAAGCTGCACTAAAATAACTCTGCTCCAAGCAACAATGTTCTAAAAAACAACACATTTAGATAAACAACAACGTGGTGCCTTGACCGCAGGTTCAAAGTTAAGTTTGTACGAAAGAAGATAAACTGCTCGTGCTAGTAGCTCTTGGTTTTGGTTTATAGACAAGACGACATAGTTGGTGTTTTGGTTTATTCTTCTAGAGAGCCTGATCCATATATTTATTTACAGGAGCACAGAAAGCAGTGTGAACTAAAGAAACTTGCTTGCGAGTACTGCAAATTGTACCTGAAAGGCGATGATGAAGTGAGTATGGGTTATAAATGTCAAAACGGACATCTGACCTGATCCTTAGAGATTGATGTTAAAAGTCGGTGTCTATTCTCCCGGCAGCAAGGAAAATAATTTGCCCGAAATTCTACCGGCAGTCGCCTCCTATTGGCGGCGGCAATCAGTTCATAAATCAATGTTTCGTCGACAGATCGCTTCATCGACAAGCAATGTTTCACCGGCAGATCGTTTCATCAACAGCTCAGATTAGATTTGTTTTCTTAATGAGTCGCCCCAGACTGTCACCGCGAAGCGGCGTTAACGGGTGGGCCGAGTAGGTTATCACGCGCTCCAGTGACGCGCGACCAAATGTCCCTGCGGCGTACAATTCGCGTAACGAGTGCCAATGAAACGTATCCATGAAACGTGTATCCACAAAAACTTGTCCACAAAATATGTTTCCAAGAAATGTCGGGAAGATAAAAAAGTTAGTATTCTAACGGCAGTCGCCTCGTGATTTCAGACAACCAAAAGATTCTACCGAGTCACAGTTTAAAATTTTATTACATCGCTTTCTGCAAATTTTAAATTCACCTTCCCACCGTGGACGACCACTTTTCTTAAAGGTCTTGTGCAAAAAACAAATAGTTTTAATAGCTTTCTGAGTTCGCGAGAGAAGTGGTTAGGGAAGCCCGATTTATAAGATATTTTGAAAAGGATATATGTGTCCACGGCCTCGTGAACAACACTTGTGAGAAGATATACTTGGTCGTTGATATGAGACAACTCAAAGATAGAAGCCCAGTCAACACCCGACAGCTGGTGATACATTCCAATGTAGTCCCTCGCTGAATACATGTACGATGTGTGGGGGGAGGGGCCATTACAGAGACTGAGGACCGGAGGATCAAAAACAGAAAGAACTACATCAAGAGCAGGGTGATATCTACCCTCAGAAACCATAGAGAGTTCGCTTTGAGCAACACACGCACCGTCCGTGTTTGAAAAGCATAGATCTAAAGCGCTACCTTGGTCGTTTAGAATGTTATTGGGCTGTCGAAGATCTAAAAAAAGTAAAGTTAAGGAGATAGGTGCACCTTTGTTTACTATAAAAGTTGTCAGCAAGGACATTGAACTGTGTCCAGTTAGTAACTGGAGTTTTAAAATCCCCCAAAATTAATATCTTGCTTCCCTGTAAGTCATTCATTGCAATTTCAATGTCAGCGAGACGTCTGTGGAAATCATCGGGTGTCGTCTTACGAGGAAGGTAAACCAGACCTATTAAAATACGTTTTCTCCTAGAACACTCAATTTCCATTCACAGAGACTCGGCAAATCTTTCCAAATCATCACGTCTTCGTGAGCTATATTGTCTGTCAACTGCGACCAATGGGTCCTCCTCGGCCTCGGTAAGAGAAATTATGATCGTGATGGTAGAGATCAAAACCGGGCGGGAAGAAGTAGGAGCAACTAGCACTAGAACATAATCAAGCTTCCGTTAAGCAAACAATTGAATATTTAGAGACAGTAATGTTCGTAAAGAAACATTGAGCTTTCGTCCGCAGGCCACGGACATTCTGATAAAAGAAATTGATGTTAATTATATTCGTACTTAGTGTTAGGCTTGTGGGCTTCTTCGGACGAGTTAAGGAGCTCTTGACGAACTGCGGCTTTGAAAGGTTTAAAAAGACAATCCGTCGGCCTTAAAGCAGGGTCAGAGAGTTTCTCGAAGTCTTCTGCAACTATAGTGACGTGAAATTAGGCGTAGGTATTGTAGCGAGTCTTCAGTGAGTGGCGCTTCAAGTTTTCCAAATCGAGTGAACACAGGGGCCCAACGAACTATGTCAGTAGAGGTGGTGACCGGATCAATCTTGGGTCACAAACAATGCTCTCTGGCGGGAGGATGAGGGGGCAACACATGCCGCGGACGCTCCGGCTTGCGCAGGGATACGAGCCTTCGGGCTGATCGGGTTTGGCTTAAGCAGGCTGTGCATCATCTTTCGACGCTCACCAGCGCTGAGACCCGTGCCTTCGGGCTGATGGGGTTCGGCTTACCAGGCAGCGCATCATCTTTCGACGAGACGTTCACTGGTGCACCTGAAGATATTGCAGAGAGAGCCGAAGCGGGAGGGGAAGCGCAGGACAGCAGAAAATGTTGTTTTACCACAGAACCCTGCCTGAGCTTCAGCATCAATCTGTGCTCGCTTGCCAAGCACGTCGCGTAAGCTTTAAACTTCCGCCCACAGGCAGGCGATGGAGCCTGCCTGGAGTTCCGCTTGCTGTGTTTGCTAGCGGCGGAGACGAGCGTTGTCTACACTGAGGGAAGCAACCTCCTCGGCGAGGAAGAAAATTCCTTCCAGCACGTCGAGGCTGAAGGCTGGGGGCCCCAAGTGCGTCCAGGTCATCGGGACCGGAGACAGGTAGCGACACCGGACGAGTAGGGTAGGCCGATGGCGGCGGAGGAGAGCGGGTGAACAGGTCGTCGGGGTCATCGGAGACCGCGCCGCTGATGTTAGGCCTAGCTCCCCCGTGTATCTTCACTCAGGCCTAGAGGACAAATGAGCTCACCTCACGCTGAAGAAATGAGCGTTCGGTCTGTGGAAAGCATACGCACTTCGTATGCGCGGAAAGTTGGCACTCAGTGCAGCGCAGAAATCTTTGTCGTGCGTAAAAGCAGCGAGAGTAAATCAGACAGGCGTCCTTACTGGGCAGCATCTTCGCACTAATAATAATAGTAAAATGTATAGCAATAATAATATCAATAATAATAATAATAATTTAATAATAATATTTATTAATAATAATAATATTTAATAATAATTACGAACCAATCATTCAGTCCATCAGTCTCTATTGTACACTGCCCAGGAACAACCCTGAGGTTTTGGTGCTGGTACACTGGTGGATTGACATACATTATACAGAAAAATACAGAAGAATATACTAAACAATATGGCATGGCTCAAAAGTTCAGACATAATGTGTTTCGGGAGAATGAAATGAAAATAAATTTTTAAGCATACTAGGCAGTACAGAAGTAACTAGTAGAATTAAAAAAGATACAAGGTAGCATCAGCAGACACGCAAAACAAGGCTGTATGACAACGAATGCACAACCAAAAGGCGCGCCATGCAGATGACAAAATTCAGTCAAACAAGAGTCATTCTGGAATGCTCAACCTGCTTGAGCAAGTTTTTAATAAAACAAACGTCCTGTAGCATGGGTGAAAAATACTAAGTTTGTAAGGGTAACGACTCAAACGCTCCGCCATTCTAACAATTGGGTTTACCGGACCAAAATTTGCGGAAACCTAAGAAGATGACTGAATCCGAATATGCACACGAGGAACCGTAAGGCACAGTTCAGATAACAGGCTAGGAATATTGATGAGACCATAGAGCGTTTTAAGCAAAAATAGGAACTCCACATTTTTTCAACGCCGTTGCAGGCTAGGCAATCCAGCACGTTGTAACGCAACCTCATATGTTAAACAGTGAACATCCTCCCTAATGTAGGGATGTTTAAAAACAGAAACAATCTTTTTTTTTTTTTGCATATGTCCTATTTTCAAGGGGTGAGTTTTAGAGATTTCATTCCAAACAACTGACGCATACTCTAACTTTGGCCTTTGTAACGAAGAGTACAGCGTGATATAAGCTGTCAGGTTTTTGAACTCTCTGGTTAAGCGAGAGACATTCGCAATGACGACCCAACATTCGCAATGACGAGTTAACGAGCTTACCAACGTGACCAGATAAAAAAAAAAGTCAGAATCAACCACGACTCCGAGATCTTTTATTAAACTTTCTCGAGATATCACCCCTTGAATATTATATCAAAAATATATATTGCGAGTTTTCCGAGTCTCATGACCTTGGTTTTGGACGGGCTCAACAGAAGGTCGTTGTGAGAGCACCATCCGTAGAAAAAAACACGTATCTTCTTTGAGCTTAGCACAATCATATTCAGTGTCTATTTCTCTATAAATTATCGTATCATCAGCGTATTGCAGGAATGAAGAATTTAAAACAGCAAGAAAGACGTCATTTACAAAAATTGTGAACAGAAGGGGTTCTAAAAGATTCCAGAAAAACGCCAGAGCGTGCCATGTATAGAACAAAGAGATAATGTTGTTGACTGGAACGTACGGGTCTATTTCTGACAAGAAGGTATTAAACCAGTCGTGTACCGAGCCGCATACTCCGTAGGAGGAAAGGTTGGATAAAATAATCGTGTGATTCACCACGTTAAAGGCCTTGCTTAAGAAAAACTAGAAAACGTCTAACTCGCCTCTGTTACATATCACACGAGATGCAGCAGACATAAAAATAACAAGATTTGTAATAGTTCATCTGCAGCTCATAAATAAATGCTTATTGGGAATTGCTAAGTTTCATTACTGAAAGACAGGAATTGATGGACAGCTATTTCAAAGATCTTGGAAAATGCAGAGAGAAGAGAAATCGGTGTATAGTTACGAACATCACATTTTTTCCCCGACTTTAGTACCGGACCAACAGCAGGGACTTTCCGTATTTTAGAAAATGTTCCTACACTTAAGAAGCTGCTAAAATACTGAGCGCAATACCGGTGCGAATATGTCGTGATAAGTCTTGGTGGTCATGAACATTTATGAAGGTATACAAGAGTGTGGGGGCAACGAAAGCATTTATTGGCTTTTGTCACGCCGCCAAACTAAACATTATGAAGACAATTATGGAAGAACATCCGTGAAAGGGCAGTAACTGCCGTACAAAAAAAGTCAGCAGAAGAAAAAGGTGAAAAACAGTTAGGAAAACACAAAAAAAGCAAGATAACAATTATGATGCATAGCGGATGAGTACTAGATATAAAAATATTTTGGAAGCATAACCATTAGATAATATAAAATCCTATCATTGTCTTCAGCTGTCTCAGTGACTTAGCGTGCGGAATTTCACAACTCAAATTATTAAAGACATCAGGTACATAATATTCGCGTGTAGACCTGCCGTATCGAGTCCGCACAAAGGAAATTTTGAATGCCTCTTGAAAACAAAACGAACGAAGTAAAGGGTTTTGGTTTTAAAATCATCTCGCCAAAAGTAGCGTAGGACAACACTTTTAATAAATAGTGCTTTGAGACGTGGCAATTTCAAAAAGGGAAACAGTGCAGTGGCGTCAGGAATTAGCATGGCATAGGAAGCATTTTTCAATATATTTTTCAAAATTCAATCACTTTTTTTATGCCACTAGCCGGATCGGTGTCAAAATACAGTTACCCTATGTCTTAATACACTATATGTAAGCGCATGAATGATTATTTTACGTACTGAAAAAGGCATGAGTGATTTGTTATTATATAGCAGGCAGCGAGCACTCCTCAGTTTTGTGCAAAGAGATGTCAGTTGAGTACTCCACGTTAAACCACAGTCGAAAACTATGCCAAGGTATTTTACACATTCGACATATACAATGGAAGACCTTTGCAAGATATATATATTGAGTGATCTTAAATAATGGAAACATTTAAGTGCATGTATTTAAGGGGATTATGGAAACAAATCAGGTTGGTCTAATTTACATCGATGTCCATAAGGTTTTGTTGAAACTAGTCCGTGATCGTTGTCGCAGCGCACGACATTGAACAGGCAGCATCTTCGTAATTAATTTGGCGCGTGAAAATGACCATGTCATCTGCATAATGATAGAGTTCGGCCTCAGAAATAAATGTCTTAGTATCATTAACGAACGAATGAGACATAAGTAGAGAAAGAATGGAACCGCGAGCGACTACGCCCGCTCTCAGTATTGTTCATGTACTTCGCGACTCTGCTGTAAGTACATGTTGTAAATGGTTTGTAAAGTAGTTCGAAAATAAAAGGAAAAACAAACGAATCATGAAACCCAAAACTTTATAACGTCTTCAGTAGGAGTGAATGGCTAACGGTATGAAATGCTTTTGAAACATCTTAAAAAAAAACAAAAATAGCGTAGCTAACATGGTATTTTTCAAAACGGAAAAGTAGCAAACCTTGAAACTCCTTTGAATAGAGGCCTCACAATAGCGGTTTTTGGTTCTTCTGGAATATCGGAACTTATAGAAAAACCTTTGGGCATATACGGTAATAATAATAATGGTAATAACTATATTTGAGTAGGGTAAGGATAATGTTTATGACAATAATGTGGATTTTATCAAAATTAATATTGAGAGTATCAATATTAGTATTTTATTATATTAATAATAATATTTAATTGTAATACAGGATGTGATGCAACGTCGAGCAAGATTTGGTCGCCTCGCAACCATTTTCGGCGCCTCGGTTACTACAGTATCGCTATACCGGGAGCGAGACACAACAGAACGGGGAAGATGAAACTCGCGCCTTGCCGGAAATTCCTCGTGAACAGCTCTATACAGAAGGCGCACCGAAGTAGAAAAACTCTCAGTCTTTCCACTCCGGTGAAGAAGGAAGACCAGCGAAGCTGTACTCTGGTGGGAATGAAGTAATGGCCGGCCGCAAGTCGGCAAGCCAGAGTGGAAAGGCTGGAAAGGTTGCGCCATCTATGAGCGACGGCGGCAACCAGAGTTTTTGTCGACATTTGTTTGGTACCGGACACGATCCTGGGGAACCTAGCTCTTAACAGTTCCGCTGTAATATAAAGAAAGGAAAACGAGAAAAGTTGGAGTGTTCGGCGGGAACGTTAAAAGCCTGGACAGCTTGCTCGTTTAGCACATGCTAGAAGAAGATCGTGTCGTTGGCGTCTGCGTGATTACGTGCAGTGACTGAGCGGGAGCAACCACTCATCTATTGAGCAACAAGCGCGGCTGGCATTCGAGTTTTTAAAGGTTATAGCAATTCAAAACAAAAGTGGCAACTTCGCGTGTTTTTGCAAAAAATTGCAATATTGTAAAGGGTGTCCCCGAAAATATTTCACATCCTTCATTCCAATGATATCTACCACATATTGAAGAGCTGTCAGATTTCTTTGCGTCTGTGTCCGTGGAACGTACGATACAAAAAGCGTAAAATATGGCCTGTTTAGAAAATCGCAAATATACGAGGTGTTTCGAGAAAAAAAAAAGTCGTGTTTTTGAATTACAAATATAAACTACGCATCGCCAAGCGCGGAGTTCCCGTCCAAATGTAGCGCTACCGGGCGAAACCAGACGCCAAAGTTTTGGAAGGAGCCGTTATCTCTTTAAAAAGTTCAATATATTGGAAAATATTTAATGGTTAATTGGTGGCCGAAAAAGCCTACGAATACATGGGTCTGAATGGCAAAAACTACGGAGAGTAAGCCGCGTTTTGCCATTGAAAGGCTTAGAAAATCAGTAAACTTTTGAATAAGACAACGGTTAGTTGTAAAAGTGGAGCCTCGTACACGCCGCTAGCGCTACATTTTATTTAGCCGGAGACTGAACGTTCGGTGATTCACTTTGGCGGTGAAAATATCCCTCCTGCTGTGGTTTGTCGCACGCTGTAGGTAAAATGCCGCCTGTTAATATCTAAGTATCGTTAATTTTGATCTTCCAGAAAAAAGCACATCTTAAAATCTGCGAAGAAGCTTCAATTGAATGTGCTTTTAAAGACTTTGGATGCAAGGAGAAAGTGAGTATATTGTGTTTCGTTACATGAACAGGCGTTATACTGTCAATACTTTAGCTGGATTTAGACACGTATATACATGTATAAAATATTTCTTGGCACCCATGCCCAACAAGTTTATTTACTTTTTAGTAACGCATTTTACCTTGAGTTGATACCTCTTAAGATAGGTGCTCGTACAGTGTTTAAACCCCGAGAAATATGTTCAAAAATACATTTAGACTAATACCTTGCAGTGGATGAAGCGTGTTGCTAAATACGGTGTTTTTCGAAAGACCGCAATCCAAAAACCCTTGTAGTTAACAAAACTTGTAGCATAGATCAATCAATCAATCAATCAATTTTATTTACATCATCATCAAATAGTGATGTGGGCTGCAGAGGCAAAAAGTCAAAACAGTTGTGACTTGACAAGGCCTCTGCAGCCTTACAATTGGCATACGGTAACAAACAACAGCTACCGGGGAAAACAAGCAGACAGCGACATGGGAAAAAAAAATAAAACACTTATATACTCTATTTGCTGTTAGAGGAAGGATTTGACCTCTTACACAAAGAACGAAAAGAAACGACAGCATCTAGTGACTGGATGTATACAGGAAACAAAAATATATAAACCGGATGCATTTACAGCTCACAAAGACAATTTATTTTTTATTTGTGAAAACAAAGTTCTCGAATTTCAATGAGATGTAGGTTTTAAATGTTTGACAAATTTTTTTTTAACTTTATTTAAGACAAGTGGAAGATTATAGCTTAACATTTGAAACCCGTAGTTCGTGCGATTAAATGGAATTTTCCAGCGCTCCCTTTCCCTAACGTCATAAGGTTTAGAAATGGGAGTTAAATTTGAAATACAAGTAAAAAATGGTTCATTACATCGGAGGGTGGATCTGTATCGTGTGAGCAGAGTAAATTCATATGAATCAAGTATCGATGTTAGATGCAGCTCTTTAAACAGAGGACGAGTGTGTATGTCAAAAGACACATTTCGTATAATGCGGACAGCCATTTTTTGAAGAATATGTAATTTATTTAGGTTGGACTGGCTTGTAGTGCTCCACACCAAGCTACAGTAATTTAAAATAGGTTCAAAAAGAGCTTTATATATGAGCAATTTTAAACGACAAGGCAGTATATTTTTAAACTGGTACAATTTTCCCAGCACTTTTGAAAGGTTTTTAGCTATATTGATAATATGATCATTCCAAGACAGGTGGTTGTTAAAATAAACTCCAAGTGTTTTCACATTTTGAACGAGTTCAATTTGAGAGAGGCCAAGAACAATATTAAAATTGGAACTAACATTTCTATTCTTAGGTCTGAAAAGGACCGCCTTGCTTTTGCTCATATTAATTTCTAACGAGCTTACTACACTCCATTCATATAGCTTCTGTAGTGTGGTGTTAGTTTCATACACCAGTTCTTGTATTTCAGTGCCTGAAAAAAATAAGCTAGTATCCTCAGCATAAATGATGAAAGAGGGGGTTCTACTGATGTTAACAATATCATTTATATACAAGTTAAATAAAAGAGGACCCAAGATGCTACCTTGTGGTACTCCAGATCTGATAGGTTGAACGGTAGAACTTTGACCATTTATTACAACACATTGCCGCCGAAAATTAAGATACGATTTTATAATATCAAGTGTTACACCACGGACTCCATAACATTCAAATTTTTTTTAGAGTAATATGATCGATACGATCCAACGCTTTAGAATAATCTATAAAAATACCCAAAATTAATTTTTTTTCTTCGAAAGACTTCAAAATTAGCTCATTCTGTTGTAACAATGCCAATTCCGTTGATCGGCCTTTGCGAAAACCGAACTGAGAGTCTGTAATTATTGCAAATTTTTTACAGAAACATGTTAATCTATTATGAATGATTTTTTCAAGGCATTTAGAAAACACAGGTAATATTGATATAGGTCTATAATTTGAAAAATCGTTTTTGTTTCCACCTTTAAACAAAACAATAACTTTTGCAATCTGCATTTTTGTAGGAAATACACCACTAAACAGTGAGGCATTCACAATATGTGTTAAAACTGGTGCCAAGACATCTAATACATACTTAATTGGTTTGATCTGGAAATCATCTATATCAGAGGAGTATCATAATATCAATTATGAGGACAAATAGGGCTTAGCGGCTATCTATAATAAAGGGCAAGAACCAGCATGCTAATAATTCATGAGCCTGAACTCGCGCACGTTTTAAATACCCTGTCTAAAATATACCGACATTAAGCCAAAGGGACACCGAGTGACTTTGTTGCGCTGTGTGTGACAAATGGGACAAAAGTTGTTTCTTTAAAATTTGACAATAAAAAAGTTTATTTTGGTAATATTTTAAGCTTTAATATAGTTAATGCGTAACCATTATATATTGCTCATACTACAAGCTATTTTGAACAATTGTTTTAAGTTCCCAAGGAAAGAGATGCAGGAACATGAGAAGGACCCACACAATGCACTTCTTAATCAAGTGATCCTTGTGAGTATACGTTGTTTTTCTGCTGTGTTCCTTGTATAGGCGTCTAGTGGTCTGTCTAGTGCACTCGTATGTGGAGCGTTCCGCGAGCCGTTCGCCAAATTGTATCCGCGAAAGGTACGCATTTCTCAGAAATGGTTTGTCACCTTGGTGTCTGCGAAGAAGCCTATTTAGAAAAAACAACCTAAAAACATTTGGTATATTTAGATTCTTAATAACCTTCATTAATTAACTAATTAATAATTAAGTTTCATGTAATGGTTTTACTTATAATCTTACTTTTTCATCATTGAAAACTAGGATATCAGCGGGCCAATGGAACTTTAATTTAAATGGTCCAATTTATTCAATGGGGTGCCAATGACAGCACAATATTGTAAAACATTAGAAGCCTGTTGGCACTTCATTGGGAGTGGTATCCAACTTATCCAAAGGGGTGCCAATGAGTGCCCAATATTTGAGAACATTGGATACCCATTGCCACTTTGTTGTAAATGGTATACAATTCATCCATTGGGGTGCCAATGACCGCCCAATATTGGGCGACATTGGGAGCTCATTGGCACTTCGTTGGAAGTTGTATCCTATTTATGCAATGGGGTGCCAATGACTGCCCAATATAAAACAACATTAGGATCCCATTGGAAATTTATTGAAAGTGGTATCCAATTTATCCGTTGGGGTGCCAATGACCGTCCGATATTGGGCGACATTGGAGGCTCATTAGCACCACATTGCAAGTGGTTTCCGATTTTTCCAATAGGATTCGAATGGTATCCCAATGTTGGTCATAGAAAAGATAAAACGGGACAATCATCGCCCATTTTCTCAATACATTTTCAATATTGGTTACAGGGAGAACACAATGGGCCGCTGATGGCCCTCTTTTTCTGAGATATGCCCAATATTGGACCAATGGCCTCTGCTGCTTGGGGAGTGTTTGTTTTATTGTGTTTTCAATTACAGAAGGCGATGGACACGATTTCGGAGCTTCAACAGAAAATAAAAGATATGGAGCGGTGCAACGTATGTATATTAATTTTCAGTAAACAACAATAAAGTTAAATGTTTTTACTAGAAATGCACGTGCAACTTGTATATACTTAAGCAGTGAAATTTAATCTTTGTTAAAAACGCTTGCGAGTGTACTAACATTGAACACTGCAGCGTTCTCAATATGATCCAGATTAGCTTCGCCCGATGATCAAAAACAAAACTGCCACGCAGAGAAATTTCTTCAAGCATGTAGGAATGAACTCTTCATGTGCAGGTTTTACTCGTAGCACTTGCGAGAAATATTAATTTCTGCATTTCAGAGACTTTAAGGATTTACAAATTCCATGCTCCGTGCGAGGTTAGGGGCATTAACATACGATCATATCAGATATGATTTAGGTTAGGAGGCTCCTCACCTCATGTTAACCTGAATCGGGTACCGTGGGTCTGCACAAATGTTACTGTGCTAAAATACGGCCCACGGCCTTGTACACGTTTCTAAAAAAAAAATATAATTTAACAAATTTCAAACATTTTAGCTTAGAAATTATTCAATTAGATTACTTGATTACTAAATAATAAAGTAATTGTTCGTTACTTGAAAAGGTAGCCGTTACTTTTCCGATTTCTTTATTCTCAAGGCGTCAGATTTTTTTTGGCGGTTTGAAAACCGGTTTTTTTATCTGTTCAATATTGCATTAGGATCCACAAATCATACACTAATTATCTTCTTAAGCAAGCAATTTTTCATAAATTACCCTTCTATCGGACACTTGGTTTGATGATTTATTTGTACAGAAACCTGTAGGAACAAAGGCGCCTTTAGAAAGAAAGGGGAGGAAAAAAAATAACTTGGAAGTAATTTTGATACTTCCAAAAGTAATAAAAAATGTTTGCCATTGCTTGGTAATAAATGTATATAAATGATTAAAATTGCTACAAAATATTTTCAAGTACAAGTAAATTGATTAATTGTAGTGGGTACTGCGCAGGTGTGAATAGGGATAGTGTCAGGACCTCTGCGGCTCGCATGAGGAGCCTGGTGTAGGTCGCGACAGGTGTCGACATTGGTGCTTCTCGGGAAGGTTGGTAGAGTTGGGAGAATGCGCCGTGATAGGCAAGTTGCGATCGTTTGTAAACGCCTTGAGCAATATCTCTGAAGCTTTGCGGGCTGCAACGAATTTCTACCGTCGTGACGTCTGCCGCACCGTGATTGTTTACGCATGCAGCCTCAGAAGCTCCCATTGCCGAGTCACCTCGGTCCTAACACTACTCCACCCTCTATACTCGTAGACTGTAGAATCGTCTCCAGCCCTCCTCCTCTTTTGTCATCTCACATGCTGTCTATGATGATTTAATTCCACCCTCTTCAATTCAGTTCTGCAACTCTAAGCCAAATTTCTTATCAACGCAATTTTCGGCGTTCTGTGCCTTCGCGATGTAAATATAAAAATTGCGATGTAAAATCGCGTTGTAAATATAGGGATACGGAATTCGCAAAGTTTTTTGTGATGGTATTATTTTGAAGTCGCAATGGCATGGACATAAAGTCAAATTATCATGATTATATTTATTTATGTATGGATAAACAAGGAAATGCATCCTTCAGTGAACATAATTACTACTGTTTATTTTTTTCCAGATGTCTCTGCAGGAGGAAGCGAAAAATGAAAAAGCGAAGCTGGTAAAAAAAATACAAGAACTGGAGAACCGTCAGGTAGAGCCAAATACATTTCACTGGAATAATATTTAAATATTTCTTCGTTTTGTAACCTACCTTTAATATTAATATTAAAAATAATAACACTAATCATAATAATAATCTTTATATTCGTGTGCCGAGAAACCAGCCGAATGCTTTCACTTTAGCGCACAAAGAACGTGTAAACACCAAATTAACAGAAAACAAACAAAACACATATCAGAGATGGGTAGCGATCGCTTGCAATTTCTTGTGGTAAACAGAAAAAATCACTGAATATTCTGATACCTGGATGGTCAAAGAGGTCGAACGGTGATTGTATGCGTGACAAGGGGACCTGCAGATAGTCTTGACATAAAAGTTACAGTGATTCCTAGTCAAACGGGATGGGACATGCATTTGATGGCATTCGATTAAAGCGAATCATTATGTATAATTATATTTACTATACTGTGCAAAAAAATATATTCGCATTCTGTTCTTCTGTCAGACAGTGACCTCAGCAAGAACTTATCGAGAAGAAAGTTCTAAACAAAATAAAAGCGGCGCTGAAGATTGCGGTCGTAAACGATGCGTTTTTGTACTCTTTAAATTTTTTGTTGACTGTGTTTCTAACAACCAATTTCAAGATGCAGAACAGAATTCAAGCGTTCACCTAACTAGAGAGCAAAATAAACAAATAATGCAGGCAGGGTTTTTAAATTTCTGCAGAATGCAAGATATCAGTCAGGTAAAGTTTGTAGTTGTTTTTCCTCCTGGTGGTGTGGGAGGCAGGTTCCGCTCCGATGGTCTGGAGCGTGGTGGCACGGACGTCGCTGAATGTTACGGGTCGACTCACTGCTTGTAGAAAACTATGTGCATTTATTTACACTCTGGTTACAAGTCCCAACTTGGGAGACCATTCTGCCTCGTCTAAAGTCTCGACCCCCGTCTCCAATTTCTCTCAATCAAATCCAAAGTCCGAATCCCTCAAAATCCTCTCCGCACTCTTTTTGTAGGCCCGTAGGGGCCTCCATTTCCCTCAGGAACCGACCAATCTCTTCAAATTCCACCACTCACACGTGGTACACTGTTCTCCAATGGTCGGCGAGCTGTCATCCCGGCGCTCGAACCGCCAAACCCGAATTCCACGTAGAGTTGTTCTCTGCAATTTTCCCTGTCCAACTGGCGCCAACCACTAAATTATTGCATCGGGCAAAAAGGACAAATTTATACTAAGCGGAAAAACCCTCTACGTACATGCACATTCGCTAATAAGCCACAAGCATCTTCAAGCGCGGGCTCTCCCGGTCCCGGTCCGAGCAGACTCCCGAAACCCGAGACGTTTCTTAAAGGGACACTGACACCCCCCAAAATTTTTTTTAAATTTTTTGCCAGGCGCTTTATTATGGTGTCGGAGGACTACCCAATTAATATTTTGCAACAGAGTAGCGTATTTTTTTAATAAAGCCAAAAGACGCAACTGCTCGAAACCGAAACCGAAACCCGACGGAGGTCGGAGAAGTGGAGAGAAGAGAGTGAGTGGCGGAAGTCACGTGGCTACACCCGACCGTGTTTTTTTTTTTTTTTTCCTTTCCGGTAGCAGACGACATGCGGCGTATGGGAACTGTTCGCCGTGGGATTCTTTTGCAGTTATGTACGTTCCGCTCGTTGTTCTGTGCTCCAAGATGAGTTGTTTTGTACACTGAGGAGTTGGAGATGAGTAGTGAGTGCCCGTGGTGAATCTTGATCGGCTCCGAAAAGAATACACCCAAGATGTTGCGTGAAGAGCTGGCTCACATGTCCCTCGTCCGAAACAGAAGTGGCATTGTGCGACAGAGTTTCCGAAAGACCAACGAGATCGGGACCAATGGCTGTCTGCAATTCCTGTAGACCATTTACGGGCACCTCGGAAAGCGGACGCTACCTGATTTATATGCTCCTTGCATTTTGTGGAAAGTGATTACATTGAGTTCGCAGGTGTCAAAAAGGAAATCCCATACCATTTAATTCAGTGACGTGCCGTCCACAACATTTGCTTCTTATATTTTTTTTGTTTGTTCCTTCAGTAATAATTGTAAAAAAAAAAACAGAAATGTAGACATCAAAAAATATTAAAAAAAAAAAAAAAAAAGTTTCACGGGAGATCGAACCCGGTCCTACCGCGTGTGAAGGGGACGTCCTTCCCACTGAGCTACTGGGGCATAACGAAACTGAGGTATCTCTTTCCTTGGTAATAATTCAGCCGATAAACTGTAAGTTGGAAAGTTTTCTGCCGATTTTCCTCTAGCAAAAGCACTCCCGGGTCGAAGTCGGGATGCACCACGCATTGGCGACATTCTCACCTAGTAAAGAAATCGTACGCGTGCATATTCAACTCGAAGTAGACACGTCGCGCTTGACGTTTGCGCGAGCGATGTCTTCAGCCACAAGAAGGGAGCGACGGCTCGGTGACGTCTTCGTGCAAATCGGCTTGGTGGTCGGGCGTGTCGTACGGGATGAATACCCATTCTGTTGACCAGTCCCAAATTTCTCTTTTAAAGGCAGACAAAATGTGCCGGTACCGCGAACGACAGTTCTGAAATAGAGGTCCCAAGCCGTCCCTGCGAGTCCCATGATACGCGAAACGACGCACGCACAGAATGCTTCCGGTTGTCTGTGGAACTTTTTTTTCAATCAACGTATTTGCAGCTTTTTAGAAGCCGCAAAAAATGGGTTTCATATTTTTTTCTATTTTTAATATTGCGTGTGTGCCTTCAGTGACCCACGACTTTGATTAAATTTGGTGGTCGCATCGATACCTTAGAAAATGGCCCGTGACCGCGGAAAAGAGAGTGAGCGAGACTCGAACCGGCCAGTTCTTGATCGGCGGTTTTCGGGCGGAAAGAAACCGAATTTCGAGCCGCAAATTCTGTTCTGGGTAGTTGAGCTCTCATATGTCACGTACAACTATAAACCTCGGCGAGCATAAATACCCTGTCAGTGTCCCTTTAACGACCGCGGGGGAACAGCTCCCGCATTGCGGCCGCTCTGGCCCCGCCGACACAAACATAGAAAGCTAGAAAAAACAATGCCTACTGAACTCTGGAAAGATAAACTTTCCTAACAAAAGAAAACACCTTAATTAATAAGCATGATTTTTATATACTTAACTTCAGTCTCAACATCTTTCTCGCCCTCCCAACAATAGTGGACACATCCCAAGCAGCACGGATTTTGGCCAGGCAATGGCCAGTGGCTCGGGATGGTCTTGTTGCCAGTGGCCAAAGAGTGGCCATTCATAAGCCAATGCTTGGCCGACGGCTGATGGCCAGTGGCCAGTGGCCAATGGCCAGATAAATGCCAGGCATCGGCCAATCACTGGCCACTGTCTGGCCACTGGCCAAAGGACCATTGCCAGTCATTGGCCAATGACTGGCCAACTCTGTGCTGCTTGTGATGCAAAGAAAACTTCAGTTCATTATCTATGCTCACGCCAAGGTCTCTCAAAACAAAGGTGTGTTTGATTGAAAATACTTTTAATACATAATAGGTATGTAAAACTTTTCGACGGTTGCACAAGAACAGGACGTTTGTTTTGAAAGGATCAGTGACAAGCTATTCAGTTTTCACCAGTGAACTATGCGTGACTCATCATTTTGTAAAGTTTCGAAGTCGAAAAGGGTATGCACATTCACAAAAAAGCTTAATGTCATCTGCAAAGAACGAAAACTCGGCATTTTAAATAGATGAGACTACATCAATTACGAAGATAAGAAATAAACAGGGTGAAGTATAGATCCCTGGAGAATGCCGGAATTGGAAAAAAGAGTTATTGAGCGACTATTACCTATTCGAACACGGTTGGGACGAAATGATAAGTAACTTTGAAACAATTTGCACAACCCTGCACAACAATCATATACAAATAATTTATGTAATAACAAGTCATGGCTTACTTTATAGAACGGTGTTTACAATTTAAAATATATATAATCAATCTCACCTCTGTTCATAACTACAAGAGAACAGAAGTTAATAAAAGTGCACAAGTTACTTTCAACTGACTGTCCCGTCAGGAAACCGTGATGACAAGCTAGAAATTTCAGGCGGTAGTAAGAATAAATTCTGTTATGCATTACGCGTTCAAACACCTTAGAAGACCTAAACAACAAAGCTATGGGTCGATAGTTATTCGTAACAGAAGTGTCATACCCTTTGAAAATAGGTGCAATCACCGCGTTCTTCCAAAGCGATGGAAAAACACCGGAACTAAGGGAGAGGTTAAAGATGGTGCTTCAAAATAGGTTAAACAATTCACGACAACCCTTAATAACAAAAAGAAAAAGGAATTGAGTCAGCCCCAGGAGATAATTTTGGTTTTAGTTTCTTTACAGCTTCAGCGATTTTTTCGATATTTACTGTAATACCCGAGAAAAAGTCATGGAATTTCATTTCAATAACCTTTGGCTGAACCTTCTCTTTTTTTTTTTTTTTTTAGCGGTGGAGCAACAGTCATGGAAGTAATCGGCAAAGATATCTCCAACCTCTACAGGGTCGGAAGCATAGTTATCGTTATGTGAGCGGTCGCGTAGTCAACGAATTTGGCTAGTATCGCGCGTGTGCTCTTTTGCAAACCTCCAAAAAGCTTTTGGAATTCGGTTCAAGCAGCACTCTATTTGGTCAAGGTTTAAGCGCTTATCTTTAGAGTACAACCTTTCAGCTAAAGCACGATAAATGCTAAACTGAGTATAACATAAATCAGGCACGTAGCCAGGGGGCGGGGAAGGGGGGGCAGGGTGCATGGGGCCTGCTCCCCCCCCCCCCCCCCCCCCCCCCCCCAGAAACAAAATCCTGGCTACATGCCTGCCATAAATGATTGCCAGTTCGTTTGAAGAGTCTTTGAAAGTGAATTTGTTTTACGACGCAAACATGTTTTTTAAATCTTCGGAAAACCATTCGGGATAAATTGAAAGCCTGAATAATCGCTGAGGCACAAAAAAAGTATGAAGAACGTCTTTAACAATCGTCGAAAACGTTTCAGTCACCGTTTCCGT